TGGCTTTTGAGTTTAATATTTTTAATATTTTTTAGTTTTTTTAAATTAATAATATTTTTAATATAGTTTTGATTTTACTTATTTATTAAATTAAAAACTCAAAAATTTTATTAAATTAAAAATATGTGTTACCATTTAAAAAAACAAAGTTGACCCCCCTCCAAGGCATAAGGGATGAACTTAAAAAGTATTACATAGTTAAAAATTCAAGAATAATGTGTAACTAAAGATAATAAAAAAAAAANTAGTTAAAAATTCAAGAATAATGTGTAACTAAAGATAATAAAAAAAAAAATGTTTAAATTATTATTATTCTGCAAGTAATTGAGTGGGTTATGATAAAAAAATCACTCTGTATAGTCGAAGATATTACCCTCAAAAATTGAAATAATTTCCCTCGTTTCCCGTAAATGGGGGAAACCTCCAAAAAAATTACAAATTTAAAAATCGCTAATTTTTTTTTAATCTGACCCTTTATCTGCCCACAGGGGGGGATTTAAAATGACAACTTTATCACAAAAAATTTACTTTTACACTTAACTTTTAAAAGTGTTACAAAAAGTTTTTATGGTGAAAACAAACATTAAATTTAATAAAAAATAAAAAATTTTGTAAAAAAATTCATTTTTATATTTTTAATTTTGTAATGCTATAACTTATTGAAAAGTGTATGGATCAACACAATTTTATTATGAGAAATAATATTTATATCTCTTTTTCATTCGACATACTCTTTCTTAATCAGGATATTAATTAGGAAATAGCAAATCATGTAGATTTTGGAATAATCCACCAATTTTTTAAAATTAAACACTATCTAAAGATCAAAGCGTTTTTTTTTATAGTGATTTTAATCACTGTCAGATATCATTATACTTTATCAAACTATGCCACGTCACCACTGTGCAGTGACCCCCGTGGCTGGGTTTTTTATTATAAATATATCATGAATTTATTCAATAGCTATAAAGAATGGTTACAAAATTGAAACAGAAATAATTTGTTAGACAAATCAATTGATACATTGAATAAATATTATATGACTTGTAATGTTCATTTCAAACCTAATATGGTTTCTAATCCAAAAAAGTATAAACTTCGTTCTAATGCTGTATATAGGGCATGCTCTATGCCCTATAGAGTTTTGTAAGTATTAATCAGGTATATAATGTTTTATTTTATAAATTACAACTAAACAATTTTAAAATTATAGAAACTAATACTACTGATGTAAAAGATACACTTAATGTATGTGAAGGGAATATCACTCCACCAAACTTGCCAAGTCCTCTGGAAGGTAAAACATAAAAATTTTCCTTTCAAATTTTAAATTAATTTTATTTAAGTTTAATATTTTTCATTTTATTTAAAAATATTCAAGGACATGATATATTTTTAGCAATACGATTTAAACTTATATCAATATAGTTGGTTTATTATGTTCTCATTATTTCAATAGAGATTATTTTTTTTTTTGAAACCATTCATTAATAAAAAAATAATTATTAAATATTTTTAGATATTGGAAGAGTATGAAATGCAGGATAGTGTAGCTTCCTTATCATAAACTCCTCAGTTGGATTTTTTACATACTCCCAGAATTCATTTATCTTCTAATTTGTCACTAATTATAAAAAAAATTGTGCATCTTGCTCAAAAGAAACCTCAAGGATATCGTTATACTAAAGAGCTTAAACAGCTTGCTTTAACTATATATTTTTTCGGGCCTCAGGCTTATAGGTTCTTGAAAAATATATTGCAATTACCTAGTACAAGGACTCTCCATAGAATAACAGAGAAATTAGATTTAGTGCCAGGTTTAAATAATTTAACTTTTGAATCTGTCATTAAAGTTAAATAGTTTTAAGAATGATGCAATAAACTGTGTTTTATGTATTGATGAAATGTCTATTAAGACTCATTTATATTATAATTTGTCAAAAGATTATATTTTGGGGTTTAATAGTTCCTATGACCAAAAAACATATGAGCCTGCTAAACATATGCTATGTTCTATTTTAAGAGGCCTAAATTATAGTTGGAAACAATCTATAGCATACTATTTTATAAGTAATACCTGTACTGGAGTTCACTTAAAAAAAACTATTTTTGCTATAATATTCAAAATACAGAGTTTTTCATTAAGAGTAAGAGTCATAACATCTGACCAAGGTACAAATTTTCTAGCCTTGCTAGTAAAATGAATGTGTAACCTGAACGGCCTTATTTTTTTGTGAATCAACAAAATATATTTTTTGTGTATAATGTTCCCTATTTGTTGAAGTCTCAAGAAATAATTTTTTTAAAGTATAATTTTAAATTTATGTTTCCCTATGGATAGGGCATAAAAATACTTCCACGGCCCCTCTGCCAGTCGTAAGAGACAACTAATGAGGTTGTGTCAGGTCGACAGCCGGCGTAAAAATCTTTGTCAAAAAAGTATGAGGTATCCTGAACAAAACTTAGGCGGATTGTCCCACCTCGGATGGGATAACAGAAAGTAGTTCAAAACGGAGAAGGCCTAAGGAATAAAGTATTTGATACCAGCCGAACAACTTGTGCGGTAGCTGTTTCACCAGTCATGTGTACAGATCTACCCAACGCTTGTAGTGTTAACGGTATAGGGACATCACCACTTAACTATAGGCTGAACTCGTGTATAAGGGAGAAAGATAGATACAAAGTAAGAATAGGTACTTGGAATGTTAGAACATTAACTGGTATAAGTAGAGAATTAGTAGAAGTATTGAAGAGGAGTTAAAATTTGTTGTATGCAGGAAACTAAGTGAAAGGAGAGAAATCAAGGGAAATAGGTGAGGGTTATAAAATAATATACTCAGGTAAGTCTAGTACAAAGAATAGTGTAGGGATAATAATCGATGAAGAGATGAAAAAGCTTGGAAAAGTGACAGAATTATGGTCGTAAAATTGATATTCGAAGAAAAAGTGCTGAATGTAATAAATGCCTATACACCACAAGTGGGATGTGATGAAATAGACAAGGAAGTGTCTTGGAGAGAGATGGATGTGGTGATAGGCGGAGATATGAATGGACATGTAGGTAATGAGAGGAGAGAATATGAAAGAGTACATGGAGAGTATGGTTTTAGTGGGAAGAATGAGGCTAGAGAAAGAATACTTGACTTCGCAGTATTGTATGATCTTGCTGTGGTTAAATAACATATAAGAGTGGGAGGAATAGATCACAGATCGATTACTTTATGTGGAAGAGAGAGAGTGTAAAGCGAGTAAAAGATTGTAAAGTAATACAAAGCGAGAGTGTAACTACACAACATAGACTGATGGTAATGGAGTTGTGCTGTACCGGAAAAAGAATAAACAAAAATAGAAGAAACACAGGGGAAAAATCGAAGATCCGATGGTGGAAATTGAAAGAGGAAAATTAAAAAGAGTTTGTAAAGACGGTAAAAGAGAGAACGATGTGGAATGTCGAGGGAGACATAAATGATGTGTGGAATAGATTTGCTAGTTGTGTAAAGAATACTGCAAAAGAGATTGCTGGTGTGAGTAGGAGTAGAATGTCAGGAAACAAGGAAATCTGGTGGTGGGATCTTGTTAAGAAATCACTAGAAGAACATTATTGTGGTATTTGTGTTAGTTATGCTAAATCTCAAAATCATTTAGATGAATGTTTTTTTTTACATATTTTTAGGCTTACCATAATGATAATATATCCACTTATGGAAATTTAAATACTCCATCTGATGTGTTTGTAAATTATATTAATGAATTAGATAAAAAAATATTTTTATAGAAGAATTTCCAATAATTTCTGTAAACAATAATGTAGAAAAAGAAATAAGTAATTTAATAAGTAATATTCCCTTTTAACATCCATGTCCAAACTTTGATTATGAGTTTTTCAAAAACTTTTACATAAGACTGAGAATATTTTATTCTTTAAAATTTTTAAATAAAAATATTTTATCAAAACCAAGAAAACATAGGAAACTTGATATACTAACACATTTATAAAATACATTTACATATTATAGATTATTTGAAAAAGTTTTTATTATATTTATTAATTGAGTAATTAATATATAATTTATGTGATTTTCATCTCTGATAACTATTTTATAATTTTTTATAAATTCATCGAAAAAATCACAAAACTAAATGATTAAATTTAGTTAAAATATCAAATTTATACAACGTTGAATTGCTTTAATAGATATTTATTCATAAATTTATACTTATAAACCAACTACTAATTAGGAATAATGATAGAAATAGGAGTTAATTTTGCTTTTAGAATAATCAACCAATTTCTTAAAATTGAAGACTATCTACAGATTTGTATCGAAGCGTTTTTTAGCTTCGATGCGAAGCTAAGAAGGTATTAATTTTACCATGATGTGTTTTTTTTTGTATGTGTTGCTATTTATACTCAGCTCTCACTGGACCGACTTTGATGAACAATATGTCAAAGGATCACACATCGTATTTAGTTGAAGATATTACCCTTAAAAATTGAAAAAAAAATAGCTTAACCAGCTTTTTCCATACAAACAATTAAAATCATTCATTTCTAATATTTTTAAAGTATTTATTGTCGAATTAGATTTGGATACGATAAAAGTATTCAACTACAAAAGTAAATAATTTTACTTTTAAATTATTGATTTTTTAACTCTATTTATGTGTGCTACTACCAGTCTATAATATTCCAAATTTTTTTGTAACATGTTGTTATATAAATCATAAATCTAAAAAAAAAATGATTTTTAGTTTCACCTGAATTTAACGAGGGATTTTTACAATAATAATCAAATTTTATAATACGCTCAATTGAGTAAATCTTTTTTATTGGTTCTTTTAGTTAAAGTAAATCATTAAAATTAATTAAGTTCTGAATATTTCCATTATAGAATCTTTTTAAACACCAAAAGTTAATTATAAATGATTACTATGATTTTTATTTAAGTGATCTATTACGATAAAAATGCAAAAAAAATTAAACTTTTCTGATAAATTTACTGTAAATAGTAATTATAAAATTTCCTGACTGCATATTAATCCTAACAATTTCATTTTTTTCTATTTAATAGTGTTAATTTCAAACTTGCAAGTTGAGCTAAAAGTTATGGTAATAAATTAATTTTTTTTTATTATAAACTTTCACTTTAAAGGACGAAATACAATAGGTTAAGAATTATTACTTTTAACATATTAAAAATCAAAATCAATAATAATTTGAAAACAATTCAATATAACAATTATATAACATATAATTTTATATTATATTTTTGAATCTAAGAGTTTCAGTTGTGCAAAAGGGTATTGACGAGGATGTAAGACACAAATTTAAGTGCGAGTGGTTGAAGTGGAGAGAAGCGTCTGGCGTCTTATGCGATAAAAGAATTCCAATTAGGTTTAAAGGTAAATTCTACAAGACTGAAATAATGTCAGCTATGATGTATGGTTGAGAGTGTTGGGCGGTTGATAAGAAAATAGAGCAGAGAATGAGTGTAACAGAAATGACAATGTTTAGATGGATGAGTGGAGTGACTAAAAAATATAGAATAAGGAACGAGCATATAAGAGGGAGTATAGGTGTAGCATCAATCGTGGATAAGATTAGAGAAAATAGACTTAGATGGTTTGGTCGTGTTATGAGGAGAAAACAATCGGAAGTTGTAAGAACAGTTATAGAAATGAATGTTGAAGGAAGAAGAGGTAGAGGAAAACAAAAAAACCCAGCACAGGGGGGTCGCGGCACAGTGGTGACGTGGTATAGATGGATCAAGTATAATGATACCTGACAGTGATTAAAATCACTATAAAAAAAAAACGCTTCGATGCAAATCTTTAGACAGTTGTTATAATTCAAATAAAATAAAATTGGTAAAAAGTTGGTAAAATATAAATGATGAAATGAGCGATGGGTATAGTGAGAACCTGATGTTGTGGTTCTATCGGGGTCGTATGGTTCGAGGGTTTAGAACGACAAAGACAAGTAGATATAAAAATATATATTAAGTTCCTCTTATAGAGGTAGAATAAACTTTTGTCTGGTTAGTTTCTAATGTCCTAACTAAGAGGCAACGAAACGGCGAAGCCAGTTCACGAATACCTCGGCAACGAGACGGCAGAGCCAGTCCACGAATACCAGAGCCTAATTTATACAGTAGAAATCACGCTAGGTTTTTTAAAACATCTTTAAGGCAACGAAACGGCAGAGCCAGTTCACGAATACCATATAACGTGATTATGTATAACTTCTTTAACCAACCAGTCAAAATTGACACTTTAAGATATTAATTTAATAAATGATCTATTGCTTTGTCATCCTTTACTCAAATTTATTAACTCCAAATAATTGGGATAACATAAAATTACTTACCTCTTTTATTCTTGCAAATTGCTGCAAAATGATTTGATAAATATCTCGATATGTTTATATATGTTTAAAAGTATTTAATTCGCACTTCTTCAAAAGATAAATAATTAAAACAAGTTCTTTTCATATATAAATAAAACGCATAAAAGTCAGCCGACAACAACACAGGGCTGTGACTGATAATTGTTTCTTTTTATTCTTATTTCAATTCGGAGAAAACGAACTCACTCGTTCGCTATCACTCCTTGGAGTCTCTCTGGAGTCTTTCCCTGACTCTCCCGGACTCAAAGGATTTCAGTGTTTTTTATAGTAAAATGATATTACCCCCAATCCAGGGATATTGTTGTCAGCGCTTTTAGTAATCTTTTTAGTTTATTGTATTAATTATGCATTACAGGATTATTATATTCAGATAACATATTTAACAATTGATAAATTGACATATATATATAAATA